ACAGGGGATGCCCAGAATGAAAAAAGAAGCACCAATCCTGGTGGTGTACAGAAACGACAAACATTATCAATCCGTCCGACCACCCCAGGATCAGGACGGCATGACTAAGGTGCCCAAACACTGGGCGCGAGAGACAGCCAAACCCGAGGCCGAAGCACTTGGAGGCGCTGGACCAAGCGTTGGAGAATCGCCTAAAACCCTGCACACGCTCTCCCCTGGCTCTTCCCATGCTCCTTCGCTCCATACTCTCCCCGCCTCCTCCTTTCGCGGATCCTCGGGTGGGGGTGTGATGATCACGCGCGCGCCGTCCCTGCACTCCTTGGTTCCTTCCGCGTCTTCTCCTCCGCGTCTGCGCGCGGTTGTGCACGGCCATGCGGCGGGTGGTGGTTCTTCGGGTGCCCTTGCGCGACCCCATCCTCCGCGCTCCCCCTCTCTTCTTACCTTGGCTGCCTCCCCTCACTCCTGCGAACCTCCGCGTGCTGCCATCAAATCCCAGCAGTTGCAGCATCCGAGTGAAACGGTTGCAAGACCATTCAAAAGATGCAGGTTCAAGCAAAGCAGTTGTGACTCAAGGATTGAAGACATGAAGTTTCTTGCACCCTCTGAGAACGATAAAGCTTCGGTTTTATCTTTAACCTCAGAAACTCACCTCAATTTGACAGACAACCTGACCAAGGACCGGTCGGGTACTAAGGACAAAGGCGCAGTCAAAAATGACAACACAGAATGCGACTTTCGCCCTGACACTGCTCCATATCCTCGACGCCTCAAGCGGCTGGATGCTAAGACGCTTGCCAAACCGCAAGGACCTCAGGTATGGGTTTGTCCGCTGCCTGACTGCCGGCATGAAATCAGAATTCCTGCAGGTTTGCAAGCGAGAGCCAAGCTTCAAGCTGCAAAAAGTTCACACCTGAAAAATAGACATACAGATTCCGAAAGAGCTGAATGCCCGCGACTCGGTGCTCAAACTCAGATCACAGTCCCGACCTCGGAACTTCCTGAAAGTGGCAGAGCCTGGAGTTGCCCAGAATGCGGGAAAGGACTCCCACTGTTGCCAAAAGTTTGGCACGAAGCTAGTGTCCGCAAACATTTTGCCGAGGCACACCCTGACACAAATCCAACTCAGGCGTACAGGAAGAAACAAAGAACTGACAAAGGCCTTCGAGCTCGTATGAAACTGCGAGGCAGACATATAGGTCAGCTCAAACAACAGAAGGTCGCTGACAACCTGAAAGTTTGGGCTCCGCAAACGGGGCATGATGTTCGCCAAATTCTTCTCAAACATAACCCCAAAGAAGAGAGACGCAAACTTGATTTGACGTCCGTGCTTGTTTGTGCCAAATGCAGACGAAAAGGGACACCATGTAGATTCAAAACCACCGCATGCACTGATGAAACTCAACCTATCCCGACTCAATTGCTGGGTTGGATCCGAAACATGGCTTTGCGACACCCTGCGAACCAAGGTGCCATCAGAAACGGACTTGGTATGACTGAAGCCGAGGTTGCAAATGCAAACTTCCAAACCAAAAAAAGAGTCAACGGTAAAGGGCCAGCCAAGTGGCTTAGCGGTCCGTTTGCCACCACTTTTCAGGCGGCGCAAGCTGCAGGGCACTTAGTTACTGAGGTCCTTCCGCCGGATGCCATGCGCCACCCGGACTCCACTGCTAAAAAGTTTCCCAAGGGATACCTGACCTGTAAAATTTGCCACAAGGTTAATCCACTTGGTGCTGTCAAAATCTGGACGAATCCATGCCTGGGACATGATCCCACCTCCAAAGGTTTCCAGTCTCAGAAAAGATATTGGCAGTCTTTAACTAAAACCCAAAAAAAAGCCCTCAGTCAAGCATGGGGGAAGACTCTGCAGCAGGGGGAGGAGCTTTTTGCCTCCCAATCCTCCAACAAGCGCAGCCGTAGAGCCAAAGAACATGACCATAATGATAAGGTTGCTGTGAGAATTGGTGAAGCGTCCCATCCAGGACCAAGATCACGAAAATTGCGCAACTTGGATCAACATGTGTCAGTTTGGACATGCAACACTCAAGGACCCAAACAATCGTGGACCTTACAACAGCTGCTCCAAACCCAGGAGCAGGCACCTCAGATTGTGCTGCTTCAGAAATGTTTTTTTTAGCCAGGCTGAATGGACCACATTTCAAAAAACTTGTTGGTCTGTGGGGCACAGAAGTTTTTTCTCCGGTGCGCAAAGCACCGTCAATCGACACTACAGAGGAGCTGCAGTCTTGGTTAAATCTTCACTACCTTGTAGACCGGCCTGGTCACACACTCACAAAGGAGGTAGTGCCCAAGCTGTGTGGGTGGGATCAACTCTGGTCATCTCCACTTACCTGGCTCCTAACAGTGATGCAGAAACCGTGAGTGCAGCTGTGGCTCAAACTGTCCACTCTCTCGCTCCAAGACATCGTTTTATTTTGGGGGGGGATTACAATGCCACACCCGAAGAGAATCCCTTTCTTCATTTCTTGATTCCTAGGGAATTTCGTATTCATGCCACTCAAACCCCAACGCGGTGGCAAGGAAACCGCGATATTGACTACTATATCAGTAACCTTGAGCCCACTGAGGTCGAAACGCTTCCTGATGTTGTAGCCGACCACAAAATTGTCAAAACTTTTTTCGATTTATCTACCGAACCTGTTTTAGGTTTCCAACAAGCCAACATTCCTAGAATCCTCCCGAAGGACCCGGAAGTTGCTGAACGAATCCAAATCAAATTGGCTCAGCTCTGGCCGCAGTTTTCCACACAACTTCCAGAGCGATGGTCAGTCAATGTTGACCAGGACTGGCAGATGCTTTCGCAAACTTTTTTTCAAGCCCTAGTTTGTGCAGTCAGGGCTGCTGCCCCTGACATGCTGCAGCGAGTGTCTCCGGCCTTACTGAGGAAAGGAAAGGCCACTGAGGTCTCTCTTAAACAGAAAGAACACATGAAACGACATCCTGCTGGAGCTATGGCTACTCACCGCCAAAGAGTTCTGCGCAGATTGATTGGAAGGTTGCGGGAAGCCCAGCGAAACTTGGATCAAGACAGGCAAAATATCACTGAAAGCCGAGTTCTCTGGAATAAAATCAGACGGTGTTCTATGTACAACCATGATTGGGGTATACAAAGAAACCTTCGGCATCTTGAAACGCTTTTGGAACGGTTCAATCATGAAGATGACTACACCAGACTTCAACGATGGAGAAACAACATGGAACATGACAAGGCTGCATACAGGTGGCTGCGACATAGATCTGTTCCCATGTGCAATGCGGTTAAGAAAACCAAAGACTCTGTTCCTAGTCACTCCACCCAAGACAGCCTGAGGATTCTCAGGGAATTTTGGGCCGATATTTGGAATAGACGTCAAATCTCTTGGGATGATATTTGGGATGATTTGGTTACTCACACTCCACCACGCCCTGCTCCTGACAGCTGGCCAAGCCTCACACCGGAACAACTCCGTTCTGCCACCAAGTGTAGCCGCGGCAGTGCGCCGGGGCTTGACGGCTGGAGAGCTGAGGAACTTAGTTTGTTCAGTGACGAAATGTGGCAGGTCATGTCCGGGTTCTATGATCATTGTGAAGAGCTCGGAAACATTCCTACCATATGGCGATGTGTTCGCCAAGTGCATATCCCGAAAGGGAAACCACCTGAAGCTGACGGCAGCATGCTGGCGGACAACATGCGTCCCATAGCTGTGATGTCGATAATCTGGCGAATCTGCAGCCGAGCCAGATTCAAACAAACTGAGGTTCAGGAATGGATCCACACATCCACCCCCGAATTCATGTTTGGGGGAATTCCCCAAAAAGGTGTTGAGGATGCTATCTCTCACATAATCCTCAAAGACATGCATAGCTGGCCGGTTGGTACACTTGACCTGACAAAAGCTTTCGATTATTCTGACCCTGAGATAATCTGCAAACTCTTTGTCCACCAAGGTATGCCGCGCAAAGCTGCACGCATGTTGTTAAGCATGTGGAGCGAACAAATCCGTTTTCTTCAGCTCCATGACGAATTTTTCCCAAACAACCATGTTGTCAAGCGCTCCCTGCCGCAAGGTGACTGCTTTAGCATGTTAGGCATGTGTGTTTTGCTTACTCCCATTGCCAATCACATTCAGAGAAAATACCCTTGTTGCGTTCAAGCTTTATATGCCGATGATCGTTCTTTCACTTGTTCCACTGCGACTGAAATATGGCAAGTTCGAAATGAATGGCATGTTTGGAGCAATAAGGTTGGTCTTCAAGAAAACCCCACCAAAGAGCAATATTACCACCGCAACGTTCAAGGTTGCCGATCTCTCGAGGATGCCGGCTGTCCTCCAGAAACAGTTTCCACTTCCATCACCTTGTTGGGATTCCAGTTCATGGGAGTGACCCAAAGAAAAGCCAAAGACCGAGAACTGACAAGACTCACTGAGGCCAAAGAAGTTCTTCGAAAATGTAGGTGCCTCCCAGGTTCCAAAACACGTAAAGCTGCAGTTGCCAGGGTTTGTGCCCCAGCAAAAGCAAGTTGGGGATGGCTGTTTCGAAGACCCACTCATGCTGAAAGCAACGCTTTCTTTCAGGGAGCAAAAGCGCTGCATCAGTGGCCAAAGCAGTCAGCCGTACCTTTACTCCAAATTTTTACTGGCCATTGGTGGGACTTAGGTTTTGCTGCCACGGTTACGACTCTCCGAGTCCTCACCCGCTATGTTCACAAAACACAGATGCAGTTGCAAAACTGGCCACCCAAAATGAGTGGCTGGACGGGTAGCTTTAGAAAAGGCATGCAAGAACTTGGGTTCGCTGAGGCTGGTAGTTGGACCTGGACGCACCCGATGCTTGAAACTATTCAGATTCAACCAACCACGCTGCCTGAAAAGGCGACCGAAGTGCTGTCACATAGGCTCAGAGATGCTTGGCGAATCAGAAATATGAGGAATTCTTGGAACTTGACCGACGCGACTCAACGGTTTGTGCAGACATTCCATGTGACCTGACCCGCATTAATATTCTGCGCAAGAAAAAACTCAACAGTCACGAACTGGCTGTTGTAACTGGTGCTTTCATTTCACCTCAATGTCGAAATGCCATGGGAGGTGCTGAAGAAACATGCCCTTATTGCCAACATGTTTGTGCCACTGTGCAGCACATGCTTTGGGAATGTACTCAGAACCCACACCGTGATCCTACTATTAGACCCCACGATGTGCTGCAGGAAAGACTCGCATGGCCCACTACTGATCCTACTAAGGTGGACCATGACAACAAACTTCTAAGGTTTGCAGCTGCAACACGTGCTGATGTGTTGCAGCAGCGCCACGACGACTAGAACCACCTCCATTCTATTCTGGCGATCGCCTCTGGCCTGCGCTGCGGCTGCGGGCAAGTGCGGGCAGCGTCATTGTCTACATCATCATCATCATCATGTTAAATGTCGTAAGCAGCTTCTCCTGCGCCTCCAGCCACAGCAGAGTGGCACGGTCGCTGCGGGCTCGTCACGGGTGCCAGGCAGGAGAGAAAATTAACGTGGCATGGCCCACGTTTGTTGCAGAAGAATTTGAAAAGAAAAATACAAAAGAAAAAGAAAAAGAACAAAAGTCAAAAAAGGAAGACAAAAAGAACCAATTCAAGAATTTGAATGTGCATTGCACGAAGAGAGCGATTTTTCAAATCGCCAAAAAAGACAAGAGCCATAAGGCCAATCCTAGGATGATGGCTGGCTGGCTGCTGATGCTTTGCTGGTCTGTGCCTTGCTGTGCTGCATTTGACACCAACAAGGACCTGGCCGCCAACCATGACGTCAATTACACCGGCCGCCCTGGATTGATTGTGGAAAATGCCACAACTCAGTCTAACGGCCCCCCAGAGATGACCCGCAACGGGAAAAAATGGCAGCTGACAATCGATGTGCCTCGCAGCGGGCGGCAGATTGCAGATGCGCTGAGCGAATATGGCTCCGTGGATGTGGAAGCTGGTTTCAGACTTTTGACGGAAGTAAGTGCAACTACTTTCGATATCCACCCCTACGGTTCTGGTTCTGACCCCTCAAAACGTAAATTCCCTGGGATCCTCAATGTGATTTTGGATTTGGTCGCTAGGTGTCACCATGGGAAGTTTGGATTTTACCCTCTGAATTTTGTTTCCTCCAAAATGTGGAATTTGGGTTTGGAATGGTGGAAAATTGGGTTTCGCCCCTGGGAATCTTTTCCCCTCGAAATGTGGAATTTTGAGATGGGATGGTTTGATGAAAAAATTCATTGGTCACCCTTTCTTATCTGGTTTTGTTTGGGCACCATGGGAGAAATTTGCGGCTGGTTGCTTAGGTACGGTGTCACTAAGCAATTTGTGCTTGCATGTCTCAAACGGGCTCAAGACAAACGCAAACGAAAACGAATCATCAAACGCTTGAAAAACAAACGCTCAGTGAAAAAATGCAGTGATCTCAAACGCTGTCAGAAGTTGTTGAAACCACATGTTGCATGTGCTGCTAGAAAATGCAGCACGCACAGACTCGGAAAAGCACGCCTGAAACACAGACGATGTGCTTTGAAGCTTCGGATGAGATGGACATATGTTCGAACCAATGGCATGGATGTTTCCCTGTCATACTCTTTCCTCTATTCGGGTTTTCCGAGACCCGAAGAATGGCCACTTGGATATGATGCACTGAGCTGGTACAAGCCTGATGCGAACAATTGCATTTTTGCCTCTGAGTGGTTGCAAGGTGGATATAAACGAAGGACGCAAAGGAAAAAGAATTACAGTGACAATGACAACGCCGCGGTTAGGAGTTTGATCCAAGGTTTGAAGGTATGTCTTAACCAAGGTTCTTTTCCGAAAGAGTTTGAATCCGTGATGTCCTTGTTAGGTCAAGTGGTCGGTCAAAATTCCCCCAAAAAGATGTTTAAGAAAAAGAAAACGGTGAAACAGGAGCCCAAACCTGACCCGTCTAGACAAGAGCAGCTGCGGGACAACAAAGATGAAGACTACACCATTCTTGAGACAGGATGGTGGAAAATGAATGGTGCGTGGAAACAGTATTGCAGAGACCCACAAACAGGATGGTGGTGGTGGGACAAGCGTGGTGACAAAGTTACCACAGTGGACCACAACCCCAGACATAATGAAAAGAAACAAGACACTGAGGTTCACAAACCTCAACAGAATACTCCAAACCTTGCCAAGGTGCGAGCTCTCAACCCAGTTGAATGGAACAAGCCAATCAAACTTGTGGATGCGCAAACAGTTTGCCAGGCCATTAAGGAAGGAAAAGACTGGGATGGAAATATTTGCTGCAGTCATGACAGACAGGTCACCCAAGAACTTCGTGACTTGTACACAAGCTTTGGTTTCACGAAAGGACTCACTTTGGTTTTGTCAGCTGATGCAATGAATCAGCTTGGCATCACACTGAGCAGGACCAGGCTTCAAAGGACAAACCAACATGCCAAGGTCGAAGACATTGCCTTGCTCGGTTTAGGCTCTGACTACCCTTGGAGAACTCACCCTGTTAAAGTTGATCCCAACAATGTTACTACGGTTGAAAGGGAATTGGTCAGAATTGTCGTTCCCTCTCACTATAGAGAACTCTTTGTATCTGAACCCCAAAAGGAACGTGTCGTTGATGTCATTTCCGACTTGGCCACTTTTGGATGTCGTGCACATGTCCTCACAGGTGGCAGGTGGGAAAGACAGGAATGGCAGAAACAAAGTTCAAGTTTGGTAGGATGGCTTAAGCTCACCAAAAAAGATGCGGAAACCCTCCTGGAAAAATCAGGGAAAAAAGGTATTTTTATCAATAAGAATATTGATACCTCTAAGGAACGTCCGCATTTTGTGTGGACCAAACACGAAAAAGATGAAACCGATGAAGCATACTACCAGAGATGCCTTCGTCTTTCAGGCGAGAGAGGCCAGCCGATGTGCTTACGGACAGGGTTGGGAAATGACATTGGTTTCACAAAGAAATCAGATGAAGACATCGAAAAGAAACCCAAACGAATTCAGATTTCTGGAGTTCCCAGGGACTGGATGGCGGAAGAACTGGTTGATTTCCTCAAACAACAAGGATGGACCCAAATGACTATTCACAATAGAAGAAGGGTCAACAGAGAATTTTTTGGAACGCCTGTGGAATGCCTCCTGTTGCATACCCATACGACCAGGGTCTTTGGGTGTATGAAGGTGCCACTGTGTTTACCATAATAGTCAACGACTCGGTCCATAAACCTGCAGCGCCAAACAGCACCACTGCAGTCAGAGGACCAAGGAAGACATGGGATGAAATTAAGGATCAGCCTCCACAGACGGCCAACACGCGGGGGCGCCCCGCGAAGAGGCAGGCCAAAGAACCCGATGAGCGACATCGGTCCAGATCTGCCGCTGAGAAGCCCGAAAAGGGCGATGAAAATAAGGACCCAATGGAAGTCGAAAAAACGCAGTTGGACTCTCAGACTCAGCCTGAAGCGATTGACAAGCAGAGTTCAAAGCCAACCTCGCAGTCTCTTGGTAATTTGACGGATGCCTTAACCCAAAACTGGACGCTGGCCGATCAAGGTGGATGCGGTGACTGTGGGTACCGGGCATTAATAGACAACTTTCATTATCAAACCACTGGTGAGACTCTTTCCAAAGAAGAATGCATCAAAAATGCCAATCTATTTCGTACGGAAGTGGTACGACATGTTCGCAAACATCAAGATAGGTACGAAAACCATGTCAGAGGTGGGAAAGAGGCCTTTCCTGCCTTTTGTGACAATGCGTTGAAGCAAACTCACTGGATATGTGGACTGCTGCTGCAAGCAGCAGCAGAGGTGAAATCATGCTGCATAGTGGTGTGGAATCAAAAAGATGAAGTTCTGGAAAGATTCACTTTCGCTCCTGAGTGGAGTCCACAGGGGATGCCCAGAATGAAAAAAGAAGCACCAATCCTGGTGGTGTACAGAAACGACAAACATTATCAATCCGTCCGACCACCCCAGGATCAGGACGGCATGACTAAGGTGCCCAAACACTGGGCGCGAGAGACAGCCAAACCCGAGGCCGAAGCACTTGGAGGCGCTGGACCAAGCGTTGGAGAATCGCCTAACACCCTGCACACGCTCTCCCCTGGCTCTTCCCATGCTCCTTCGCTCCATACTCTCCCCGCCTCCTCCTTTCGCGGATCCTCGGGTGGGGGTGTGATGATCACGCGCGCGCCGTCCCTGCACTCCTTGGTTCCTTCCGCGTCTTCTCCTCCGCGTCTGCGCGCGGTTGTGCACGGCCATGCGGCGGGTGGTGGTTCTTCGGGTGCCCTTGCGCGACCCCATCCTCCGCGCTCCCCCTCTCTTCTTACCTTGGCTGCCTCCCCTCACTCCTGCGAACCTCCGCGTGCTGCCATCAAATCCCAGCAGTTGCAGCATCCGAGTGAAACGGTTGCAAGACCATTCAAAAGATGCAGGTTCAAGCAAAGCAGTTGTGACTCAAGGATTGAAGACATGAAGTTTCTTGCACCCTCTGAGAACGATAAAGCTTCGGTTTTATCTTTAACCTCAGAAACTCCCCTCAATTTGACAGACAACCTGACCAAGGACCGGTCGGGTACTAAGGACAAAGGCGCAGTCAAAAATGACAACACAGAATGCGACTTTCGCCCTGACACTGCTCCATATCCTCGACACCTCAAGCGGCTGGATGCTAAGACGCTTGCCAAACCGCAAGGACTTCAGGTATGGGTTTGTCCGCTGCCTGACTGCCGGCATGAAATCAGAATTCCTGCAGGTTTGCAAGCGAGAGCCAAGCTTCAAGCTGCAAAAAGTTCACACCTGAAAAATAGACACAGATTCCGAAAGAGCTGAATGCCCGCGACTCGGTGCTCAAACTCAGATCACAGTCCCGACCTCGGAACTTCCTGAAAGTGGCAGAGCCTGGAGTTGCCCAGAATGCGGGAAAGGACTCCCCCTGTTGCCAAAAGTTTGGCACGAAGCTAGTGTCCGCAAACATTTTGCCGAGGCACACCCTGACACAAATCCAACTCAGGCGTACAGGAAGAAACAAAGAACTGACAAAGGCCTTCGAGCTCGTATGAAACTGCGAGGCAGACATATAGGTCAGCTCAAACAACAGAAGGCCGCTGACAACCTGAAAGTTTGGGCTCCGCAAACGGGGCATGATGTTCGCCAAATTCTTCTCAAACATAACCCCAAAGAAGAGAGACGCAAACTTGATTTGACGTCCGTGCTTGTTTGTGCCAAATGCAGACGAAAAGGGACACCATGTAGATTCAAAACCACCGCATGCACTGATGAAACTCAACCTATCCCGACTCAATTGCTGGGTTGGATCCGAAACATGGCTTTGCGACACCCTGCGAACCAAGGTGCCATCAGAAACGGACTTGGTATGACTGAAGCCGAGGTTGCAAATGCAAACTTCCAAACCAAAAAAAAGAGTCTACGGTAAAGGGCCAGCCAAGTGGCTTAGCGGTCCGTTTGCCACCACTTTTCAGGCGGCGCAAGCTGCAGGGCACTTAGTTACTGAGGTCCCTCCGCCGGATGCCATGCGCCACCCGGACTCCACTGCTAAAAAGTTTCCCAAGGGATACCTGACCTGTAAAATTTGCCACAAGGTTAATCCACTTGGTGCTGTCAAAATCTGGACGAATCCATGCCTGGGACATGATCCCACCTCCAAAGGTTTCCAGTCTCAGGAAAGATATTGGCAATCTTTAACTAAAACCCCCAAAAAAAAACCCTCAGTCAAGCATGGGGGAAGACCCTGCAGCAGGGGGAGGAGCTTTTTGCCTCCCAATCCTCCAACAAGCGCAGCCGTAGAGCCAAAGAACATGACCATAATGATAAGGTTGCTGTGAGAATTGGTGAAGCGTCCCATCCAGGACCAAGATCACGAAAATTACGCAACTTGGATCAACATGTGTCAGTTTGGACATGCAACACTCAAGGACCCAAACAATCGTGGACCTTACAACAGCTGCTCCAAACCCAGGAGCAGGCACCTCAGATTGTGCTGCTTCAGAAAGGTTTTTTTTTAGCCAGGCTGAATGGACCACATTTCAAAAAACTTGTTGGTCTGTGGGGTACAGAAGTTTTTTCTCCGGTGCGCAAAGCACCGTCAATCGACACTACGGAGGAGCTGCAGTCTTGGTTAAATCTTCACTACCTTGTAGACCGGCCTGGTCACACACTCACAAAGGAGGTAGTGCCCAAGCTGTGTGGGTGGGATCAACTCTGGTCATCTCCACTTACCTGGCTCCTAACAGTGATGCAGAAACCGTGAGTGCAGCTGTGGCTCAAACTGTCCACTCTCTCGCTCCAAGACATCGTTTTATTTTGGGGGGGGATTACAATGCCACACCCGAAGAGAATCCCTTTCTTCATTTCTTGATTCCTAGGGAATTTCGTATTCATGCCACTCAAACCCCAACGCGGTGGCAAGGAAACCGCGATATTGACTACTATATCAGTAACCTTGAGCCCACTGAGGTCGAAACGCTTCCTGATGTTGTAGCCGACCACAAAATTGTCAAAACTTTTTTCGATTTATCTACCGAACCTGTTTTAGGTTTCCAACAAGCCAACATTCCTAGAATCCTCCCGAAGGACCCGGAAGTTGCTGAACGAATCCAAATCAAATTGGCTCAGCTCTGGCCGCAGTTTTCCACACAACTTCCAGAGCGATGGTCAGTCAATGTTGACCAGGACTGGCAGATGCTTTCGCAAACTTTTTTTCAAGCCCTAGTTTGTGCAGTCAGGGCTGCTGCCCCTGACATGCTGCAGCGAGTGTCTCCGGCCTTACTGAGGAAAGGAAAGGCCACTGAGGTCTCTCTTAAACAGAAAGAACACATGAAACGACATCCTGCTGGAGCTATGGCTACTCACCGCCAAAGAGTTCTGCGCAGATTGATTGGAAGGTTGCGGGAAGCCCAGCGAAACTTGGATCAAGACAGGCAAAATATCACTGAAAGCCGAGTTCTCTGGAATAAAATCAGACGGTGTTCTATGTACAACCATGATTGGGGTATACAAAGAAACCTTCGGCATCTTGAAACGCTTTTGGAACGGTTCAATCATGAAGATGACTACACCAGACTTCAACGATGGAGAAACAACATGGAACATGACAAGGCTGCATACAGGTGGCTGCGACATAGATCTGTTCCCATGTGCAATGCGGTTAAGAAAACCAAAGACTCTGTTCCTAGTCACTCCACCCAAGACAGCCTGAGGATTCTCAGGGAATTTTGGGCCGATATTTGGAATAGACGTCAAATCTCTTGGGATGATATTTGGGATGATTTGGTTACTCACACTCCACCACGCCCTGCTCCTGACAGCTGGCCAAGCCTCACACCGGAACAACTCCGTTCTGCCACCAAGTGTAGCCGCGGCAGTGCGCCGGGGCTTGACGGCTGGAGAGCTGAGGAACTTAGTTTGTTCAGTGACGAAATGTGGCAGGTCATGTCCGGGTTCTATGATCATTGTGAAGAGCTCGGAAACATTCCTACCATATGGCGATGTGTTCGCCAAGTGCATATCCCGAAAGGGAAACCACCTGAAGCTGACGGCAGCATGCTGGCGGACAACATGCGTCCCATAGCTGTGATGTCGATAATCTGGCGAATCTGCAGCCGAGCCAGATTCAAACAAACTGAGGTTCAGGAATGGATCCACACATCCACCCCCGAATTCATGTTTGGGGGAATTCCCCAAAAAGGTGTTGAGGATGCTATCTCTCACATAATCCTCAAAGACATGCATAGCTGGCCGGTTGGTACACTTGACCTGACAAAAGCTTTCGATTATTCTGACCCTGAGATAGTCTGCAAACTCTTTGTCCACCAAGGTATGCCGCGCAAAGCTGCACGCATGTTGTTAAGCATGTGGAGCGAACAAATCCGTTTTCTTCAGCTCCATGACGAATTTTTCCCAAACAACCATGTTGTCAAGCGCTCCCTGCCGCAAGGTGACTGCTTTAGCATGTTAGGCATGTGTGTTTTGCTTACTCCCATTGCCAATCACATTCAGAGAAAATACCCTTGTTGCGTTCAAGCTTTATATGCCGATGATCGTTCTTTCACTTGTTCCACTGCGACTGAAATATGGCAAGTTCGAAATGAATGGCATGTTTGGAGCAATAAGGTTGGTCTTCAAGAAAACCCCACCAAAGAGCAATATTACCACCGCAACGTTCAAGGTTGCCGATCTCTCGAGGATGCCGGCTGTCCTCCAGAAACAGTTTCCACTTCCATCACCTTGTTGGGATTCCAGTTCATGGGAGTGACCCAAAGAAAAGCCAAAGACCGAGAACTGACAAGACTCACTGAGGCCAAAGAAGTTCTTCGAAAATGTAGGTGCCTCCCAGGTTCCAAAACACGTAAAGCTGCAGTTGCCAGGGTTTGTGCCCCAGCAAAAGCAAGTTGGGGATGGCTGTTTCGAAGACCCACTCATGCTGAAAGCAACGCTTTCTTTCAGGGAGCAAAAGCGCTGCATCAGTGGCCAAAGCAGTCAGCCGTACCTTTACTCCAAATTTTTACTGGCCATTGGTGGGACTTAGGTTTTGCTGCCACGGTTACGACTCTCCGAGTCCTCACCCGCTATGTTCACAAAACACAGATGCAGTTGCAAAACTGGCCGCCCAAAATGAGTGGCTGGACGGGTAGCTTTAGAAAAGGCATGCAAGAACTTGGGTTCGCTGAGGCTGGTAGTTGGACCTGGACGCACCCGATGCTTGAAACTATTCAGATTCAACCAACCACGCTGCCTGAAAAGGCGACCGAAGTGCTGTCACATAGGCTCAGAGATGCTTGGCGAATCAGAAATATGAGGAATTCTTGGAACTTGACCGACGCGACTCAACGGTTTGTGCAGACATTCCATGTGACCTGACCCGCATTAATATTCTGCGCAAGAAAAACTCAACAGTCACGAACTGGCTGTTGTAACTGGTGCTTTCATTTCACCTCAATGTCGAAATGCCATGGGAGGTGCTGAAGAAACATGCCCTTATTGCCAACATGTTTGTGCCACTGTGCAGCACATGCTTTGGGAATGTACTCAGAACCCACACCGTGATCCTACTATTAGACCCCACGATGTGCTGCAGGAAAGACTCGCATGGCCCACTACTGATCCTACTAAGGTGGACCATGACAACAAACTTCTAAGGTTTGCAGCTGCAACACGTGCTGATGTGTTGCAGCAGCGCCACGACGACTAGAACCACCTCCATTCTATTCTGGCGATCGCCTCTGGCCTGCGCTGCGGCTGCGGGCAAGTGCGGGCAGCGTCATTGTCTACATCATCAATTGCTGAGGTTAAGGCATCCGTCAAATTACCAAGAGACTGCGAGGTTGGCTTTGAACTCTGCTTGTCAATCGCTTCAGGCTGAGTCTGAGAGTCCAACTGCGTTTTTTCGACTTCCATTGGGTCCTTATTTTCATCGCCCTTTTCGGGCTTCTCAGCGGCAGATCTGGACCGATGTCGCTCATCGGGTTCTTTGGCCTGCCTCTTCGCGGGGCGCCCCCGCGTGTTGGCCGTCTGTGGAGGCTGATCCTTAATTTCATCCCATGTCTTCCTTGGTCCTCTGACTGCAGTGGTGCTGTTTGGCGCTGCAGGTTTATGGACCGAGTCGTTGACTATTATGGTAAACACAGTGGCACCTTCATACACCCAAAGACCCTGGTCGTATGGGTATGCAACAGGAGGCATTCCACAGGCGTTCCAAAAAAATTTCTTGTTGACCCTTCTTCTATTGTGAATAGTCATTTGGGTCCATCCTTGTTGTTTGAGGAAATCAACCAGTTCTTCCGCCATCCAGTCCCTGGGAACTCCAGAAATCTGAATTCGTTTGGGTTTCTTTTCGATGTCTTCATCTGATTTCTTTGTGAAACCAATGTCATTTCCCAACCCTTTCCGTAAGCACATCGGCTGGCCTCTCTCGCCTGAAAGACGAAGGCATCTCTGGTAGTATGCTTCATCGGTTTCATCTTTTTCGTGTTTGGCCCACACAAAATGCGGACGTTCCTTAGAGGTATCAATATTCTTATTGATAAAAATACATTTTTTCCCTGATTTTTCCAGGAGGGTTTCCGCATCTTTTTTGGTGAGCTTAAGCCATCCTACCAAACTTGAACTTTGTTTCTGCCATTCCTGTCTTTCCCACCTGCCACCTGTGAGGACATGTGCACGACATCCAAAAGTGGCCAAGTCGGAAATGACATCAACGACACGTTCCTTTTGGGGTTCAGATACAAAGAGTTCTCTATAGTGAGAGGGAACGACAATTCTGACCAATTCCCTTTCAACCGTGGTAACATTGTTGGGATCAACTTTAACAGGGTGAGTTCTCCAAGGGTAGTCAGAGCCTAAACCGAGCAAGGCAATGTCTTCGACCTTGGCATGTTGGTTTGTCCTTTGAAGCCTGGTCCTGCTCAGTGTGATGCCAAGCTGATTCATTGCATCAGCTGACAAAACCAAAGTGAGTCCTTTCGTGAAACCAAAGCTTGTGTACAAGTCACGAAGTTCTTGGGTGACCTGTCTGTCATGACTGCAGCAAATATTTCCATCCCAGTCTTTTCCTTCCTTAATGGCCTGGCAAACTGTTTGCGCATCCACAAGTTTGATTGGCTTGTTCCATTCAACTGGGTTGAGAGCTCGCACCTTGGCAAGGTTTGGAGTATTCTGTTGAGGGTTGTGAACCTCAGTGTCTTGTTTCTTTTCATTATGTCTGGGGTTGTGGTCCACTGTGGTAACTTTGTCACCACGCTTGTCCCACCACCACCATCCTGTTTGTGGGTCTCTGCAATACTGTTTCCACGCACCATTCATTTTCCACCATCCTGTCTCAAGAATGGTGTAGTCTTCATCTTTGTTGTCCCGCAGCTGCTCTTGTCTAGACGGGTCAGGTTTGGGCTCCTGTTTCACCGTTTTCTTTTTCTTAAACATCTTTTTGGGTGAATTTTGACCGACCACTTGACCTAACAAGGACATCACGGATTCAAACTCTTTCGGAAAAGAACCTTGGTTAAGACATACTTTCAAACCTTGGATCAAACTCCTAACCGCGGCGTTGTCATTGTCACTGTAATTCTTTTTCCTTTGCGTCCTTCGTTTATATCCACCTTGCAACCACTCAGAGGCAAAAATGCAATTGTTCGCATCAGGCTTGTACCAGCTCAGTGCATCATATCCAAGTGGCCATTCTTCGGGTCTCGGAAAACCCGAATAGAGGAAAGAGTATGACAGGGAAACATCCATGCCATTGGTTCGAACATATGTCCATCTCATCCGAAGCTTCAAAGCACATCGTCTGTGTTTCAGGCGTGCTTTTCCGAGTCTGTGCGTGCTGCATTTTCTAGCAGCACATGCAACATGTGGTTTCAACAACTTCTGACAGCGTTTGAGATCACTGCATTTTTTCACTGAGCGTTTGTTTTTCAAGCGTTTGATGATTCGTTTTCGTTTGCGTTTGTCTTGAGCCCGTTTGAGACATGCAAGCACAAATTGCTTAGTGACACCGTACCTAAGCAACCAGCCGCAAATTTCTCCCATGGTGCCCAAACAAAACCAGATAAGAAAGGGTGACCAATGAATTTTTTCATCAAACCATCCCATCTCAAAATTCCACATTTCGAGGGGAAAAGATTCCCAGGGGCGAAACCCAATTTTCCACCATTCCAAACCCAAATTCCACATTTTGGAGGAAACAAAATTCAGAGGGTAAAATCCAAACTTCCCATGGTGACACCTAGCGACCAAATCCAAAATCACTGGACGCTGGCCGATCAAGGTGGATGCGGTGACTGTGGGTACCGGGCATTAATAGACAACTTTCATTATCAAACCACTGGTGAGACTCTTTCCAAAGAAGAATGCATCAAAAATGCCAATCTATTTCGTACGGAAGTGGTACGACATGTTCGCAAACATCAAGATAGGTACGAAAACCATGTCAGAGGTGGGAAAGAGGCCTTTCCTGCCTTTTGTGACAATGCGTTGAAGCAAACTCACTGGATATGTGGACTGCTGCTGCAAGCAGCAGCAGAGGTGAAATCATGCTGCATAGTGGTGTGGAATCAAAAAGATGAAGTTCTGGAAAGATTCACTTTCGCTCCTGAGTGGAGTCCACAGGGGATGCCCAGAATGAAAAAAGAAGCACCAATCCTGGTGGTGTACAGAAACGACAAACATTATCAATCCGTCCGACCACCCCAGGATCAGGACGGCATGACTAAGGTGCCCAAACACTGGGCGCGAGAGACAGCCAAACCCGAGGCCGAAGCACTTGGAGGCGCTGGACCAAGCGTTGGAGAATCGCCTAAAACCCTGCACACGCTCTCCCCTGGCTCTTCCCATGCTCCTTCGCTCCATACTCTCCCCGCCTCCTCCTTTCGCGGATCCTCGGGTGGGGGTGTGATGATCACGCGCGCGCCGTCCCTGCACTCCTTGGTTCCTTCCGCGTCTTCTCCTCCGCGTCTGCGCGCGGTTGTGCACGGCCATGCGGCGGGTGGTGGTTCTTCGGGTGCCCTTGCGCGACCCCATCCTCCGCGCTCCCCCTCTCTTCTTACCTTGGCTGCCTCCCCTCACTCCTGCGAACCTCCGCGTGCTGCCATCAAATCCCAGCAGTTGCAGCATCCGAGTGAAACGGTTGCAAGACCATTCAAAAGATGCAGGTTCAAGCAAAGCAGTTGTGACTCAAGGATTGAAGACATGAAGTTTCTTGCACCCTCTGAGAACGATAAAGCTTCGGTTTTATCTTTAACCTCAGAAACTCACCTCAATTTGACAGACAACCTGACCAAGGACCGGTCGGGTACTAAGGACAAAGGCGCAGTCAAAAATGACAACACAGAATGCGACTTTCGCCCTGACACTGCTCCATATCCTCGACACCTCAAGCGGCTGGATGCTAAGACGCTTGCCAAACCGCAAGGACCTCAGGTATGGGTTTGTCCGCTGCCTGACTGCCGGCATGAAATCAGAATTCCTGCAGGTTTGCAAGCGAGAGCCAAGCTTCAAGCTGCAAAAAGTTCACACCTGAAAAATAGACATACAGATTCCGAAAGAGCTGAATGCCCGCGACTCGGTGCTCAAACTCAGATCACAGTCCCGACCTCGGAACTTCCTGAAAGTGGCAGAGCCTGGAGTTGCCCAGAATGCGGGAAAGGACTCCCACTGTTGCCAAAAGTTTGGCACGAAGCTAGTGTGGCACGAAGCTAGTGTCCGCAAACATTTTGCCGAGGCACACCCTGACACAAATCCAACTCAGGCGTACAGGAAGAAACAAAGAACTGACAAAGGCCTTCGAGCTCGTATGAAACTGCGAGGCAGACATATAGGTCAGCTCAAACAACAGAAGGTCGCTGACAACCTGAAAGTTTGGGCTCCGCAAACGGGGCATGATGTTCGCCAAATTCTTCTCAAACATAACCCCAAAGAAGAGAGACGCAAACTTGATTTGACGTCCGTGCTTGTTTGTGCCAAATGCAGACGAAAAGGGACACCATGTAGATTCAAAACCACCGCATGCACTGATGAAACTCAACCTATCCCGACTCAATTGCTGGGTTGGATCCGAAACATGGCTTTGCGACACCCTGCGAACCAAGGTGCCATCAGAAACGGACTTGGTATGACTGAAGCCGAGGTTGCAAATGCAAACTTCCAAACCAAAAAAAGAGTCAACGGTAAAGGGCCAGCCAAGTGGCTTAGCGGTCCGTTTGCCACCACTTTTCAGGCGGCGCAAGCTGCAGGGCACTTAGTTACTGAGGTCCTTCCGCCGGATGCCATGCGCCACCCGGACTCCACTGCTAAAAAGTTTCCCAAGGGATACCTGACCTGTAAAATTTGCCACAAGGTTAATCCACTTGGTGCTGTCAAAATCTGGACGAATCCATGCCTGGGACATGATCCCACCTCCAAAGGTTTCCAGTCTCAGAAAAGATATTGGCAGTCTTTAACTAAAACCCCAAAAAAAGCCCTCAGTCAAGCATGGGGGAAGACTCTGCAGCAGGGGGAGGAGCTTTTTGCCTCCCAATCCTCCAACAAGCGCAGCCGTAGAGCCAAAGAACATGACCATAATGATAAGGTTGCTGTGAGAATTGGTGAAGCGTCCCATCCAGGACCAAGATCACGAAAATTGCGCAACTTGGATCAACATGTGTCAGTTTGGACATGCAACACTCAAGGACCCAAACAATCGTGGACCTTACAACAGCTGCTCCAAACCCAGGAGCAGGCACCTCAGATTGTGCTGCTTCAGGAATGCTCTTTTAGCCAGGCTGAATGGACCACATTTCAAAAAACTTGTTGGTCTGTGGGGTACAGAAGTTTTTTCTCCGGTGCGCAAAGCACCGTCAATCGACACTACGGAGGAGCTACAGTCTTGGTTAAATCTTCACTACCTTGTAGACCGGCCTGGTCACACACTCACAAAGGAGGTAGTGCCCAAGCTGTGTGGGTGGGATCAACTCTGGTCATCTCCACTTACCTGGCTCCTAACAGTGATGCAGAAACCGTGAGTGCAGCTGTGGCTCAAACTGTCCACTCTCTCGCTCCAAGACATCGTTTTATTTTGGGGGGGGATTACCATGCCACACCCGAAGAGAATCCCTTTCTTCATTTCTTGATTCCTAGGGAATTTCGTATTCATGCCACTCAAACCCCAACGCGGTGGCAAGGAAACCGCGATATTGACTACTATATCAGTAACCTTGAGCCCACAGGTCGAAACGCTTCCTGATGTTGTAGCCGACCACAAAATTGTCAAAACTTTTTTCGATTTATCTACCGAACCTGTTTTAGGTTTCCAACAAGCCAACATTCCTAGAATCCTCCCGAAGGACCCGGAAGTTGCTGAACGAATCCAAATCAAATTGGCTCAGCTCTGGCCGCAGTTTTCCACACAACTTCCAGAGCGATGGTCAGTCAATGTTGACCAGGACTGGCAGATGCTTTCGCAAACTTTTTTTCAAGCCCTAGTTTGTGCAGTCAGGGCTGCTGCCCCTGACATGCTGCAGCGAGTGTCTCCGGCCTTACTGAGGAAAGGAAAGGCCACTGAGGTCTCTCTTAAACAGAAAGAACACATGAAACGACATCCTGCTGGAGCTATGGCTACTCACCGCCAAAGAGTTCTGCGCAGATTGATTGGAAGGTTGCGGGAAGCCCAGCGAAACTTGGATCAAGACAGGCAAAATATCACTGAAAGCCGAGTTCTCTGGAATAAAATCAGACGGTGTTCTATGTACAACCATGATTGGGGTATACAAAGAAACCTTCGGCATCTTGAAACGCTTTTGGAACGGTTCAATCATGAAGATGACTACACCAGACTTCAACGATGGAGAAACAACATGGAACATGACAAGGCTGCATACAGGTGGCTGCGACATAGATCTGTTCCCATGTGCAATGCGGTTAAGAAAACCAAAGACTCTGTTCCTAGTCACTCCACCCAAGACAGCCTGAGGATTCTCAGGGAATTTTGGGCCGATATTTGGAATAGACGTCAAATCTCTTGGGATGATATTTGGGATGATTTGGTTACTCACACTCCACCACGCCCTGCTCCTGACAGCTGGCCAAGCCTCACACCGGAACAACTCCGTTCTGCCACCAAGTGTAGCCGCGGCAGTGCGCCGGGGCTTGACGGCTGGAGAGCTGAGGAACTTAGTTTGTTCAGTGACGAAATGTGGCAGGTCATGTCCGGGTTCTATGATCATTGTGAAGAGCTCGGAAACATTCCTACCATATGGCGATGTGTTCGCCAAGTGCATATCCCGAAAGGGAAACCACCTGAAGCTGACGGCAGCATGCTGGCGGACAACATGCGTCCCATAGCTGTGATGTCGATAATCTGGCGAATCTGCAGCCGAGCCAGATTCAAACAAACTGAGGTTCAGGAATGGATCCACACATCCACCCCCGAATTCATGTTTGGGGGAATTCCCCAAAAAGGTGTTGAGGATGCTATCTCTCACATAATCCTCAAAGACATGCATAGCTGGCCGGTTGGTACACTTGACCTGACAAAAGCTTTCGATTATTCTGACCCTGAGATAATCTGCAAACTCTTTGTCCACCAAGGTATGCCGCGCAAAGCTGCACGCATGTTGTTAAGCATGTGGAGCGAACAAATCCGTTTTCTTCAGCTCCATGACGAATTTTTCCCAAACAACCATGTTGTCAAGCGCTCCCTGCCGCAAGGTGACTGCTTTAGCATGTTAGGCATGTGTGTTTTGCTTACTCCCATTGCCAATCACATTCAGAGAAAATACCCTTGTTGCGTTCAAGCTTTATATGCCGATGATCGTTCTTTCACTTGTTCCACTGCGACTGAAATATGGCAAGTTCGAAATGAATGGCATGTTTGGAGCAATAAGGTTGGTCTTCAAGAAAACCCCACCAAAGAGCAATATTACCACCGCAACGTTCAAGGTTGCCGATCTCTCGAGGATGCCGGCTGTCCTCCAGAAACAGTTTCCACTTCCATCACCTTGTTGGGATTCCAGTTCATGGGAGTGACCCAAAGAAAAGCCAAAGACCGAGAACTGACAAGACTCACTGAGGCCAAAGAAGTTCTTCGAAAATGTAGGTGCCTCCCAGGTTCCAAAACACGTAAAGCTGCAGTTGCCAGGGTTTGTGCCCCAGCAAAAGCAAGTTGGGGATGGCTGTTTCGAAGACCCACTCATGCTGAAAGCAACGCTTTCTTTCAGGGAGCAAAAGCGCTGCATCAGTGGCCAAAGCAGTCAGCCGTACCTTTACTCCAAATTTTTACTGGCCATTGGTGGGACTTAGGTTTTGCTGCCACGGTTACGACTCTCCGAGTCCTCACCCGCTATGTTCACAAAACACAGATGCAGTTGCAAAACTGGCCACCCAAAATGAGTGGCTGGACGGGTAGCTTTAGAAAAGGCATGCAAGAACTTGGGTTCGCTGAGGCTGGTAGTTGGACCTGGACGCACCCGATGCTTGAAACTATTCAGATTCAACCAACCACGCTGCCTGAAAAGGCGACCGAAGTGCTGTCACATAGGCTCAGAGATGCTTGGCGAATCAAAAAATATGAGGAATTCTTGGAACTTGACCGACGCGACTCAACGGTTTGTGCAGACATTCCATGTGACCTGACCCGCATTAATATTCTGCGCAAGAAAAAACTCAACAGTCACGAACTGGCTGTTGTAACTGGTGCTTTCATTTCACCTCAATGTCGAAATGCCATGGGAGGTGCTGAAGAAACATGCCCTTATTGCCAACATGTTTGTGCCACTGTGCAGCACATGCTTTGGGAATGTACTCAGAACCCACACCGTGATCCTACTATTAGACCCCACGATGTGCTGCAGGAAAGACTCGCATGGCCCACTACTGATCCTACTAAGGTGGACCATGACAACAAACTTCTAAGGTTTGCAGCTGCAACACGTGCTGATGTGTTGCTGCAGCGCCACGACGACTAGAACCACCTCCATTCTATTCTGGCGATCGCCTCTGGCCTGCGCTGCGGCTGCGGGCAAGTGCGGGCAGCGTCATTGTCTACATCATCATCAATTGCTGAGGTTACTGGAGTTTTTTGTAACACAGCTATTGCCGCTCGACCAACCAACGGGTGCGGTGATATTGTTTGAGGGGGTTGTGGGACACTGGCAGACGAGATTCTGATTGCGAAACACCTGCATAGACAATTTTGTTTCTTTTCATGTTGTGTGCCTAAGAACAAATCATCCCGAATGTTTCTGCAAGACATCAGTTTGTAATATGAACAACCCTCAGTTCACTTTTAGTATTGCAAATATGGATTTTTCTGACAATATGTTTGTTAGAATTCAATGTTTCACCATTAAGATTGGTAGATAAAACCTTATAAAATCGTCATTTTGAGGCTACGCCGCGTTTTTAGACCAAATTCATAAAAATCATATAGTCGTGAAGTATCCCATGTCATGATATAACATTTGATCCTTATAAAACAGTCGGTTGAATCATGTTGAATCCCAAGTTTCTGCACCGGTGAGTGTGTACCTTTTTCCGTGATGAGGAAAGTGCGCATGCAGACAGGGACATCGCCATCATGAAATACATGGCCAAACACAAAGCGCAGGCGTGTGTTACAAATTCTGGCAAATTGTGTAGGAAAAGCTTATGTCTGATTTCAATTCGTAGCAAGTATACAGTCAGTACATGTCAGTACATCATATACAATTATGTGTGGATGTGTATGTTGTAAAAGATACTATAAACTATTTTATTTTTTATCCCCCTCTAGATATTCAAAAATAAACTGGCCGAGCCCGGGTACCGTTTTTTAGGGCAGTTTATATCAGTTTATAAGGATCTCACTTTTGAAAATTGGGAGTAAAAAAACAGGTGGTCTTATAAAATGCAGATTCTCAAAAAAAAACACAATTTAAGCTACCCCCATTTTTGGTGGCTATAAAATGACAATTCCAAGTCACAAAAACATTTCTGTTTGTTTTACTTGTCTGATTATGTTGTTTTATCAGTTCCCTTATAAAACTGGCATTTCGGAATTGCAATAGGAGCACCAGGGGCCTTGTCAATTTAGAAAGAAAAACCTTATGGAATCGCGCCACCCAACGTAGGGTAGTAATATGGTAATATCTAGAGGGGGATGCTATTAATATAGTATGTATATTATGTATGTATATTATGTATGTATGTATATATATATATATACTGTTGCTTATTATGTACGTTTTTCCCCAGATGCTCCGGCATATTGCAAGGATCACACTTGTTTTTCCCTAGGCACAGGACGTGATGTCGCTACACTACCTTCACCACGGCACCCATTTGGCTCTGGATTGATCGCTGCAAGGGTTCCCCCAAGTGGAAAAATTTGGCGAAGCACCCAATGGCCATTTGAAAGTAAAACGAAACCGTTCCTTCCAATTCTCCGGTGTTGAGGAAGGAACTAAGGAGCTGCTACGCATTTCCCATCTGCGAAGCAAAAAAGTCTGTCAAATTGCAGTGGATCTATGTGTTTTTGTTTTTTTCCAGCCTCGCGAATCCCATCGAATCTGTGCTCATCGGAACGTTGTGCAGGTGGAAGCTTTGCGAGATATTTTCTTGGAGATCGATGCGGATCATTCCAGTCTGGAACCTTGCCTGCAACGAGGAAAAATACCGGAACGAATCGCCATGAGGAGGATATGTGATATAGCCGACATGATTTCACCAAAATATGAATGTGTTAATTGGGAAGATGTCTAATGTTGATCAACCTTATGCATGCCCCTTTTCTGACTGTTGTCCGCATTGTTCTTCTTCAGGCTGCTGAGGTTTGATAGGACTTAGAATGGCTTAGCAAAGAAGTTCGGCAAAGAAGTGTTGATGCAGGCGTAAACCAAGGACCTGTATTTGCAATTCTAGCGACTTGCATTTTACTGCTGCCCCAACGGCTGTAGTCGGGTCGTTTGACTTTACCCTCCAACTGATCAGTCTGGTTTTCCTGCGCACCGTTTTATTCATTTACTCGAGCGTAGATGCTGTGCAGGTGAGTATTGATGAGCTCAAGGCTGGGTTGAATTCCCCACCGGTGGATCGACAGTTACAACCCATTGATACCCAGTGGGTGTGTCTGAAAATGGCCTGCATACGTTCGAACTGGCCATTGAAATAAAGAAAATTATGGTCAAGCAATGGATGTAGAGGTACCCCATTTTGACAAACCCGTACGTCCCCCAATTGTTTATGTGAAGAGTTGCTGTGAAAGCCCCTCATCAGTCCATGTGGCCAGCTGCCAGCTGTGATGGTTTACATATCACCGCCGAGGTTTTGAAGTAAAGGGTCTCTATTAGATTCTATGTGCATATTATATATATATATATACATTCCGTAATATCCTGAAATGTATATATACATGTTATATATCACATATATTTACAGTACATTGATTGAGATCCAGCCCAGCTCATGTTTATAGCCGAAATCATTTGACTGGAATAGACAATGAATACAATGAACACATACCGGTAAATACATATACCGCCTTTTACCGGTAATTGTTGGAAATCTCACCCAAAGGGTGATGTTTACAGAAAAAGTGTTTGGGGACGACTGTATCACCAGGAGGCAATGTCGGAGCAGAAGTTGGCAAGTTTCATTGAGTCCCTGGACATTTCCACCCATGAGCCGCAGGGGACGGATGGCGGAACAGAGTGCCCTCAATATGTTCATTCTTTCCACTGCCTTGTGCTGTGAACCTTGGTGCATTTCGGCATTTTACTAGATAAATCTCCCCCACACACTTAGGCCTTAGGAACTCAATGGTCTTACCATACCAACAAAAGCAAAATGATCAGCAAAACCCTTGATTTCAAGATGAGGTTTTCCAATGCCACCGGCCAGATGATTTATCTTCTCAGATTCCCTAACTCAGCTGCATCGTGAGAGAATCATCGGCATAGAATCCAGTTGGCAAGAATGTAAAGCCTCCATGAATCCTGGCCTTGGAAATTCGCTCTTTACTGTAGGTATCTGTAGATGATGGGGAATCCCCTTCCCCTGGTTGCTTACCAGCGCGAAGTGGCAGAGGGTGACCACCCTGTCATTCCTGATGCTTTCAATCAAGCTGCGGGTAGGACATTTGGAGTCTGTTCCTGATTATTGATGCTGACGCCACTTGCTCGGACGCAATCGGGGCCGGCTGGTTTAAGAGTATGTTTCTGCAGAATATGCGTGGAATGTTGTGGTTTAGTCTAATATGCATTTTGGGACGGTTGCTTTATTTCGTTGTATGGTCCTTGGTATTTAAGGGAATGCGCAAGCACTTTATATGGTTTACCTTTTTATTGTCAATTGACCATAATTGACCCATATTGACCCTTGGTGGAAACATATACTTCCCAGATGTCACAAACTTCTCTTGGCATGGAAATCGCGGTAGGCAAGCACATTTTCATGCATTTTCTGCCTTCTTCCACCTGCTGGCCATTTTGATGCAAATAATCATGCTTCCCCTGGTTCTTCCACATGTAGGGATTGCTTTTTGATTATCCCGGTCGGCTGTTGATGAGATGCACAGGAACGTTTTTTGTTTTTTAACTCACACTCAGCCACTTAGCCTACACGGCTTTGATCATTCCCAGTCATTCAGGTTCGTTTGTGCTATCCAGGTTCAGATCCAGTCGTGTTGTTTCTCGCCCATTGGATTCCAACCTGGATCAAACCAGGAAAGCGGTACCATAAGCCTGGACGAATTTGTTTCAGGCGCGAATGAGATGCTTGAGTTGTGAAGATGTCAGACAAATGCGGGTGGCTTTCGCTCAAATTCAATCGGAGAATTTCTCTATAGCCTCTGATCCCTAGTAATTTTGCTCATGGAGCAAGTCATTGAATGGCATCAGATTTGGTTTGATTCACCTAACCCCAGTGCCGTGGACACTTATATTTGCTTCTAAAACGTTGAGCTGTAGTGTACAAAACTACGCACCAGACCGAGATTGTTCAGACCCAGAGGCTCTTTTCACACGTTGGGTGTAGTGGGAACATACCACAGGTGGAATATGAGACATTTCTCGCTGGCAACGTTCCTCAGATCTTCCCTCAGCTTTTTCACTCTCAAAGTGCTGAGCTTAATACGGAAGGATAACAAAACAGGATACACCAATTTGACCAATGCACTTTGGCGCACCCTATTTTCAGACAAGTAATAAAACGAGAAAGACAATTTGGCCGAAGCTCCCCAAGAGGCAGCCAAATGTCAATGAGTCTCCGGACGATTAAAGACGAACTGTGAATTCGACGCTATCAATTCCCAAAACAACCTCACGATAAATGATGGCAAGTAAGAGGAATCATGTGCTAAATGGCTGACATTTCAGTTGATTTCACTATATTTTAAGCTTTCTGAATCCTCGGAAACGATGCTGCCCATGTACTTATTCATCATATATAACGAATCCTTCACTTTCTCTTGGAGGTTAGCCGCCAAATAAGCCATCGATGAATTCTTGATGTGTTTTCAATATTTCATAGATTCCATCAATGAACTTTGAGACACAAATCAATATGAGAGCTGAACACTTGAAAACTATTGAAAACCCGTTGTTAAATATGTCTTTTTGAACAAAAATTCAACATGCCCCGACATGGCAAGGCTGCATGCAGCTACACGGCCCTGCAAAGAGCTTTCAGCTCGCAAAGATGAGCTACGAGAACAAGGCGGCGATGTCGACGGGGGAGGATGACCAATCAAAAATTGCGGAAAACATGGGAAAATATGGATGAAATCATGGGACCCTATGGGAAATAAACCCTTCCCCATAAGATTGGAAAATCTGTGAGCTCATAGGAAATGCCATCAACGATGGCGGAGATATTCCTTTCCCCCTACAGTAATATTAAAACATGTGAAATACCACCCACTCAAAACTATGGTGCAATGTACTGATGTACTGAATCAAGTCAATCGGGGCTGGTGATTTCATGTGGTGTTTAAGTTTGAAACCTATTTGGGGGTTTTTGATCCGACATATTTTTCAGGTGAAACTACCCACCAGAAAAAGATGCAGAGATGGTACTTGGAAGCCCAGCGTAGCACGTTCCCAAGGGGGTTGATACCCCTTTGTGAATGAGCCCAATTGTGCGGACTGTAACCTCACTTTTGAGTCAACTATAGGCACCCTCTTCATGTGGTTCATCTGCCAGGTGACCAGACAAGAGATCAAACATCTCAGTGTACAGGTGCACCTCTGGGGGCCTTGCGCCGAGGGGATCCCATCTCAAGATATTTGGCACCTCAGGTCTTTGGCGATTTGTCTGGTCGCAAAAGATAAAGCGGGTATCATTGCAAACTTTGGATGTAAACATCTCAAGATGTCAGAAGACCCATCATCAGAAGCACGGGACTGATGTACCATGGCTCTTGGCTTCATACACTTGACATGTGGTGCCTCCCATTTGTACGATGGATTATGACTCCGGTTGACCTTTCTCCCTCTAGACCCACTGAAGACGATTGCATTGGTCCCGGGCCTGTGGACTTGACTTGCGAGAGAGAGCAGCTGGGTCAACCTGTACTTTCATCCCATGCCTACTCATCTGGAAAAGGGGATTTACCTCCATGAAAGGTATGAAAGGGTAGAGTTATCCAACCTAAACATAAACATAATGTGGGCAACCCAAAAATAAACCTACCATTTGGGGATGATTGAAAAACCGCCCATTTATGGCGGATGGTTTAGGGCATTGGGTTTACCACATATTTTCCCTACACCAAAATAAGCCAAACCATCTGGGGCACCACATAGGACCCCCAGCTGACCTGCCAGGTTTCACAGCTGCAGAGACACTTTCAGCTCGACCAGATGCCACCTTTCAGAGCCACGCAGCGAGCGACGAGAGTGGCAAAAAGTGGATGTCTGCGGGGTTCCGGCGGTTCCATCAGGATTATGCTATGGTGATTTAACATTATTTAACCACCTAAATATATTTCAAAATATTGTATTGAACCACCCAAACATTATCGGGGTATTAAAAGACTTTAACAACCCAATATGATATTTTAATATGCCTTAAGCATGAACAAATGGTGATTTATTTGGATAGAACAGGGATGCTCGAATCTATAGGTAAATGATAGCCAGTCTTGGAGGAACAAATTGATGACATTACCTTTTTTATCCTTTTTTTATTCACCGAAGTTGCCCTCCTCGTACCTGTGGTGTTGGGAGTAACCCCGATCTCCTGAACATGACCAAGCGAATTGGATCTCCAAATTGGTGAAGCATAGGCGCACGTCAAGTGTATGCACAAAAAGCTTGTTGAAGAAGGACTGCCAACCGCTTATTCGTGCTATCAACTACCAAAACTACCAACAATAAGACAAAAAACATCATAGAATCATAGATTTGGATTGGTTGCCCCACAGAGCGTTTTTCATGTTTGACAGGCAGCACCATGAGCTCCGCACTGGGCGGCTGCATTCGCTTCACGCCCGGAGATCCACAACGGAGCCTGAGGCAATGCCTGCGGGAGGCAGGGGATTGGGCAAAGGAAAAATTGGTGGGATTCAATGTGGTGAAGATGTCTGAAATTTGATGAAAGACCTTGAGAAGTGGGATTCTTTCGAGATGGGAATTATGGTCGCAATTCAAGAAAGCCAGGGAGTTCACACGTCTTTGCTGAGAAAAATTGAAAAGGGTGTATATTATATAATATGAATTATATATGATATATAGACTATATATATATATTGTACTGTAAATATATATTTACACACATATATTTAAAAAAATGAGAGAGATTCACCCACAAGAATGGTGCAAATGGTTTGGTCAAGTTTCCCTTTGGGGACCCTGTTGAAGCCTATTTTATCTTATATGGACTTCTATCTCGACCTTGAGAGAATGTGCTTCAGAACAGTTTGGCCTAGCAATGGGGATATACAACGGGATATCATTTGGAAGATCGCGGAATATCAGTGAGATTTGAAAAGAAAACACAGAACGTATGTGGCTTGCCCTAACTTTGCAATTTTAATTTTGATAGGGAAAATGGTGCTAAGCTAGCCGATTTAGGGGTATCCTCTTTTCAGACAAACGTCTTAAGATGCTGCAAGCTGAAGCCCATCAGTTGGGCCATTGGGTAGGGGTTCCTTCCCCCTTCGCAGCGGCATAGTTCAATGGGTAGATTTCAAAATCAACCCAGAGTTTCTTCCAAATGAAATGGTGTCACCAGCCATGTGTTCACCGGAGATCGTAGCTTTTGACAAGGCTCTGAAGGGAAATCTGGTGCCCTTCATCTTGGCTGAAGAAAGTTGCACATTACATGCCTTAGAGGCGCTACTTGCAGCAGGCCACGGGTGGGGGCCACGAGGTAACTATCCCCAAATGACCCAAAAAGGTTTGCGAACTAGTTTGATTTACCCAGGTATATAAGTATCATAGTTGTACATATACAATTGTGCTTGACTTATTTTCTCAGCTATGAACAGAGGATCAAAGTTTCCAGAAAAAAACAACAGGTGTTGTTCAGGATATATCACAGCTTTGGTTGTCCTTTGGTGTCGGGGTGAAAATTTCCGGAAGCAAGATGCTTGCATGGTAAAAGCCAACAATTCCTGCAAGTTATGCTTGAGTAAACGACTCAAATGGCTGGGAATATGTTTTTTCTTCAACGGCTTAGCTCCAAGTTTTGGTTGAAACTGACCATAGTTAGTTGTTGCTTAAATCCCTCTGCGCCATGTGGCTATGCGTCAAGAAGTCTGGCACCCTGGCTTTCACATCAAAATAGCTGGTAGCGATGGAGGTTCATCCCCCAGAAAACGGCATCATGGGCGACGTCATATGTACAATTATGCACATGTGTTTCATGTTTGAATCCCCACTTTTATTCCAAAATCCCACTTGTTCATGTTTGCATCCTAAGTCATGGCTACATGACGAGTCAAAACCCTGGGGCCATAGGTACCCTAAGAATCTAACTGGTTTATTCTCCCAAATTTGGTCGTAATAGGTTTTTGACCCATCCGCAAATTTTAATCTTCCCATGAAAAATCCGTGGTGCCAGATGTGATGACCGAGCCTTCATCCCAATGCGTCAGCATGCGCTTGGCAGCCTTGGAACAGAGGCGGCAACGTGTGGCTTGGCGACTGGGAGTGTTGGATCCATGAAATTATGGGCAAACAGAATCTATACTATCCTGTATTGTTTGGTGTTACTATAATACCTATATACATGCATCCATGTTTGGACATATCTTGCATCTTTGGGAAATAATTAGAATTTATGGAAAATACATATTTAAGTCCCAGGTTTCTGGTTGAGCATGGACCAACATTCAGCCAGGTTCAAACCAAAAGTCGGCGAGTACAGTTGTAAAGTACCTGGTACCTGGCCAATACTTATGGTCATTATATATAGTGTGAATAAATAAATATATATATATATATACACACGTAAAGTTAACTGTTGCTCGCAACTCCCTAATAACTGTACATATTTCGTGGGTATATAGCGACACATTGTGATCCACTAAGCATTCAACTAGCGCCATGGCCCATCTCAGCCAGACATGGTAACTCACCAAAAGTGGGGTTGAACGGGTAAAGAATTAAAAGTAATTCTTTAATTCTTACAGTTTTTTTTTGCAAGTTAGATAAGTTAGCTTTGATTTCAAGAACGGTGAACCTTGACATCACCTCTGACCTCATGACCACAGTTCATCACGAAGATGGTTAAATCATACCAACGGACCATACAGACAGGCGCTTCGGTTTGCCTGACCGGGTCGACATTTCCCTAAATTCATGCTTCTCTTGAAACCCATACATGATATTGTTGGGTAGTTATATGTAGTTATACCACGTTATATCCCATTTATTTACCATTAATTAAGGGATAGGTATATCGTTATACCGGTTATACCCCATTATTTACCATTAAAGCACCATATCTTCATGGTTGAATCATGTCAAAACATTCCATTTTCACCACTGTCGCCGAGGACTACAAGCGTTTTTTCGCCCAAGCCCTGCGCTCGTCGATCCTCTCGGGAAGTTGCGTTGCGTTTCTCGGAAGTTGCCGTTTGGGGCGGAGGCCAGTGGACCACTTGCTGGCTTCCTATGGGGGATAACCAAAATCGTCCAAAATTGAATATATTATCATAATCAGGGGGAAAAACTAGTGGTTTGGGGGACCATTATTTTAGGAAACCTCCACTTAGTCACAATTTCATATGATGTCAACCCTAAATAGACGAGTGGATTTGCCGTGGAACAGAGAAATAAGAAATATAAAAAGGATATACTTGTTTCAACGTCTACTTGTGATGGGATGCCGGGATGCAGTCAATACTTCAGGTCAAATGGAGATCGCATGACATGATAGAACTGGTAAGTGCAGTATTTGCCAGTACTTTATGGCGATGACACCTAGCACTTTGATTGGACAGATCCGATTGGTTTTGGCCTTGAAGGCACATTGAAGGACAGGTATACCTACGACACTGACTGTATCATGGTGTCTACATATCATCCACAAGTTAAACGTTGGGGACCACAGGACGATGAGTTTGATACCCTCCAAATGACCACATCTTTGGCGGGTTTGGATTCTCCTTATGTTTGAGTCAACATATTCCAAACCCAGGTCCCTCTTCAGTATCATATACATATACACATCGACATCTATCATTCTGATACCTGGGACAGAGAGTATTTGGCAATAGTGGATGGATACATACACACTGATATTTATGTTTTGATGAATGCACATGTATATCATTGTATATCTAAAACATATATATATATATGTATATGCACGTGTATAAATAAAAATGAATATATATATATGTATGTATGTATGCATGCATGCATGTATGTATGTATGTATGTATGTGTATGAATATGATATATGACACTACGAATTTAATATTCATGATGTGTATATATATATATATATTTAGATATATATATATATAGATGTTCAAGATATACACCATTTAATGTGGAAAACCATACCATTACCACCATCACCACAGCCACAGAGGCTGGTCTTCGAGGACGATGCTGTGGTCGATTTGGGCGAGGAGGCCTGGCTCCAACGAAGTCCCTCCAAGGGCACGAGCTTGGAGGCAGGGGATGAAGGGAATGTTGTTGAGGATTGGTGGTTTGGAACATGAATTCTATGACCTTCCATATAATGGCAATAATCATCCCAACTGACTAATATTTTTTCAGAGGGGTTCAAACCACCAACCAGATATGTTTAGATGATTTAAGATGAGGTTGGATTGTTTTTGATTTTTTTTGAATGTGGTTGGATGATTCTGGGCTGATTTTGGATTGTGGATTACTGTAGTTCAACCGCCCCCTGTTTTGAGAGCTGCATGGTCTCAGCAAGTTGTTTTTCCATTGGCAAAAATCCTTCTGTGGCGATGTCTTGTGCAGCCGACCACATTGAGGATATGGATTGTATGAAAATGGGGTACCCTGCGGTCGCCTGTGGTACCCTCTGGTTAGGTCGCATGTTCTTTGCATTTTCCCTGCAGGTTCTGCCAGACGAATGGAGCCTCTCATGTTTCTTCAGTGGTACCTTGGATGAATGAAGGCACTTGGGATCACTTGAGGATGCTTTTGACCGATGGTGATATTAGGGATGGTTTATGACAGTTTATGATGGTTTATGGCATGGCACTGCTGTTGACCACATGTGTTTTTTTAAAATGTTGGGAACTCTGGAATCTCCGGCGTCGTCATCCCCAAAAACAAATGGGCAAAGTGCTCAAGACTAAGAATTGACATGATGTGTAAATGGCATTTCCCGGCCATGTTTGATTGCACTGGAACTTACAAGATTTAAAATGAAGGGATATAATCTTCCCAGAACACCCGTATAATAATATATATATATAATATAATGTGGAAACAAACTAGTAATTTCCTGATCATTCCCAGCATTGGATGAAGAGAAGCTTTGCAGGAAAGTATCATATTTTTATATTACCAGTAGTACCGCACAAGGCGGTAGGAAGTTTCAAAAATAGGAAACCTATAGGAGAGATTGGTTGTTGTGAATCACGGATGGCAGAGCGAATCCACTGATGGACCAAAAGTTGCTTGAGATCTCCTCCCTTTCTCTCTCTTTCTCTGACTATCTACCTACCTACCTACCTATCTATCTATGTATCTATCTATCTGTCTATCTATGGATCTATCTCTCTCTCTCTTTCATCTAATTACCTGTTTGTCTGTCTATCTAACTAACTATCTAACTAACTAACTCATTAACTAACAAGCCTATCAATCAATCAACCTATCTATCTATCGATCTATCGATCTATCGATCTATCGATGTCTCGATCTATCGATCTATCGATCTATCGGTCTATCTATCGACCTATCGGTCTATCGATCTATCGATCTTTCGATCTATCGGTCTATCAATCTATCGATCTATCGATCTATCGATCTGTCGATCTATCTATCTATCTATCTATCGATCGATCTATCTTTCTTTCTATCTATCTATCTATCTATCTCTCTATCTATCTATCTATCGATCTATCTATCTATCTATCGATCTTTCTATCTATCTATCTCTCTATCTATCTATCTATCTATCTTTCTTTCTTTCTATGTCTCTATCTCTCTATCTCTCTATCTATCTATCTATCTTTCTATCTATCTATCTATCTATTTATCTTGCTATCTATCTTTCTATCTATCTATCCATCGATCGATCTATCTATCCATCTATCTATCTATCTAACTATCTATCTATCTATCTATCTATCTATCTATCTATCTATCTATTTGTCTACCTGTCTATCTGTGGTGCAGTGTCATTCAGTGTAGTGTAGTGTAGTGGAGTCTAGCGTAGTGTAATGTAATTAGTGTAGTGTAGTGTAGCGTAGTGTAAATGTAGTATTGTAGTTGTAGTTGTAGTTGCAGCTAGTGTAGTGTAGTGTAGTGTAGTGGAATGTAGTGTAGTGTAGTGTAGTGAAATGTAGTGTAGTGTAATGTAGTGCAGTGTAGCGGAGTGTGGTAGTGTAGTGTAATGCAGTACAGTGTAGTGTAATTTTGTGTAGTGGAGTGTAGTGTAGTGTAATGTAGTGGAGTGTAGTGTAGTGTAATGTAGTGTATTGTAGTGGAAGGTAGTGTCGTGTGATGTAGTGTAGTGTAGTGTACTGTAGTGTAGCGTAGTGTAGTGTAATTGAGTGTAATTGAATGTAATTGACTGTAGTGTAGTGTAGGTGACTGTAGTGGAATGTAGTGGAATGTAGTGTAGTGTCGGTGTATTGGAGTGTAGTGTGGTGCAGTGGTGGTTGTAGTTGAAAATGCTACAAAACCCTCACGCTTTGCTTACTTTTGACAAGGTCCACAACCCCTTGCGCCTGCCACGCGAAAGCACATCTGAACCTCCAAAAGTGGTCCGAACCCCTAGTGTTTTGAACATGTGGTGCGTTATACATTTTCACTTCGAAATGTGCTTCGCGCCACAACGGCATGCACTTTTTCGACATCGCAACTTCCAAAAGTGGTCCGACCATGGTGTGTTTTGTACATTTTGACTTCGAAATGTGCTTCGCGCCACAACGGCGTGCACTTTTTCGACATCTCAACTTCCAAAAGTGCTCCGACCATGGTGTGCTTTGTACATTTTGACTTCGAAATGTGCTCCGCGCCACAACGGCGTGCACTTTTTCGACATCTCAACTTCCAAAAGTGGTCCGAACGTGGTGTGCTTTGTACATATTGACTTGGAAATGTGCTCCGCGCCACAGCGGCGTGCACTTTTTCGACATCTCAACTTCCAAAAGTGGTCCGAGGCAGAGGTGTTTTGTACATTTTGACTTGGAAATGTGCTTCGCGCCACAACGGCGTGCAATTTTTCATCTCTCGTCTGGCCAGATGGCTCCGCACCCGCCGCTTTAGCGAGCCTACTTTCGGACCTTCCGAAGCCACAAATCATTGGAAAAACACAGTGTTTCGCGACTTTCCTACCTCTTCGCGCATCGTGCATCTTCTTTCTTCTGACTCTTTCTCCTCTCTGATCTTCTCTCTTCTAATCTTTCTCTTCTCTCTGCCTCTGCCCTGCTCTGCTTTTCATCTGTCCATATTGTCGGAAGTTTGACTTCTAAACTTCCTTCGATTATACAGGTAAAAGCCATGCGCTCTACATGTTGATTTGTTCATGTTTTTGTCCTTATAGCAGCCCGAAGAAAGGTTGAAAAAAGAGTTCAATCTACCATTATTCTGGAATGGGAGATTTACAATCCTATATCTTTTTGGGAGCTTGCTATATGGGTTTGTTTCTCGATGGGGTACCCACAAATCCCCAATGGTTTATCATCACGTTCCATATGAAATAGCCGTTTTGGGGAAGCCTCCGCTTTAAGGCAAACCTAGTATTTTATTAATGCTGGTTAGTTATATCATGTCCCCTTATATACCACAAATATCCCATTCATCATAAGTCCCGTTTTCAAGACAACCCAATATGATATGGTTGCTCAAATATCCAATTATATACCCTGCTATAATCAGTTTTTTTACTACATGTCCCCAATGAGCCCATGGATCTTCGAGGATCAGCCCTGCCACCCGAAATCTTTGCGCCCATGACCTTCAATGCCAGGGGCAAGGCCGATGGATTTCACCGGTTTCATCGTTAGAAAATGTGGGGAATTAAGCATCAAGAATAGGGGGCAATTAGATATACTAAATACTAAAAAACAACATTCGAATCTGTGGTCTGGGTCTCCCATGCCTTGACCCATTCCCAAATGGGGAGATGTTCTAACTAGCGCCCTGACCGGCCGAGCACAGCTGGCCTGTTGCTTCAAAAATTGGGTCCATGTTGGTCCATGTTTTAGACGTTCTAACTATTGCAGAAAATGATTTTGTTCAAGAATCATCTTGTATATCAAGAATATTCAAGAATATCTATTTGATCTAACTGAGGGGCCATGACTGCCATGATTTGACCCATACTGAGACCAAAGGAAGCTGACCCATAGTGAGATCGAAGGAAGCTATGCAGATGCATATGTTCAACAAAAAACATTCACCATGCAATGCTTGAAGGATCCACACTAGCCACCCATCCTGCATGCCAGATGATTGTGATTCCGCTTCCACCAAAAGTGCAAAGCCGCCAATTGCAAAGTGCTGACAGTCCTCCGATTTTGAAACATGTCCATTCCTTCCTTGGATCTGCGATAAATAAATAGTTACATGTACAGGACATATATATATATATATATGTGTATATATATCATATGCGTATATATAATTATGCATATAACTTTCATTTAGCGATACACACATAATCTGTATATCATATATATATATATGTATATATTGTTCTTTTATTTAAATTTTATATGTGTGTTGTTATATTGCAATATTTTATGATATATATATATATTATATTAAAACAACTTACACTGTATACATATATATATTGTTAGTTTCATACTACATAGTATACAGTATTATATGTTATAGAACATGCCAAATATAGTATTTAATATTTAGGACACAACCAATAATATTTAATATAAAACAATTTATTCAATGATCTTATTTCCTTTTTAAAATACATGTCCTTTTTAAAATGATATTACATTACATGATACCATATTATATGTTAGTCATATTATACCATATTTTATTATATTTTATTTTTATTTTTATATTATATTACATTATATTGTTTTATTTTATATTATATTCTCATTTTATATTATCTTATTTTATATTAAATGTTATCATTGTATATTATATTATATTATATTATACTATTGTTTATTTTCATTTAATATTATATTATGTTTTGATATTTTATTATATAATGTTATTTTATATTTTATTTTTAAATTATATTATATTATTTTTATATTATATCATTATATTTTTTAATATTATATTATATTATATGACATTTTTTGTTAGATCATATAATTTTTTATCGCATTATATTATATTATATTGCATTTTATTGCATAATAGTGTATTTTACATTGCATTATATTATGTATATTTTTATGTTATATTATACTATAGTAACTTATATTATATGGTATTATAGTATAGTATATTATATTTTGTTTTATTGCATTATATATCAAGATATTGTTCGGAGATATTCGTGGGTATTTGGATGATGCAACCTTTCCAACTCATTCTCAGGTAAAATCCCGAACACTCAACTTCGAAACTAAGAATGTCATGCACTATGGGACCCACTGACGTTTGCTTTGAATTGTCTTGCGAAGTTGTACCTGACGCCCAATCAAACTCTCCAGTGTTCTGGTAGGGTCAATGCTAGTGGTAGGCGCCCTTGCTCCTGCCTGATGGATCTGACAATGGCACTCTGGATGCATCTAGCAGGCTTCAGTCTCAACCTATCAAAGAAGGATCCCTTGGCTCACGGGTGTATCTTTAGTTCCACTGATTGGTGCTTTCATGCGTTTTTTTCCATCCCAAAGAGATGCACTGAGAATGCCCAATTACCAGCATATTTATTCCCCAAACAGCTCTTGAGCTGAATGGGGTTCTCAATTCTTGCTAGAAACGGCCTTTGTTCCCTCATGATTTGCTGGCTCCTCCTGGTTCCGGCTGGGGTTCCGGTGCTTGTCTCCCTTCTTCTCTCGTCTTTCTTTCCTCAGGAAAGTGGTTCTGTTCCATCATGATTTGCTGGTTCCTCTTGGTTCCGGCTGGGGTTCCGGTGCTTGTCCCCCCTCTTCTCTCTTCTTTCTTTCCTCAGGAAGAAGTTCTGTTCCATCATGATTTGCTGGTTCCTCTTGGTGCTAGCGTTCCGGTGCTTGTCTCCCTTCTTATTTTTCTTTTTTTCCTCAGGAAAGAGGTGCTGTTCCATCATGGTTTGCTGGTTCCTCCTGGTTCCGGCTCAGGAAAGGGGTTCTGTTCCGCCATGATTTTGTGGTCTCTTGGTTCCGGCTGGGGTTCCGGTGCTTGTCTCCTTTCTTCTCCCTTCTTTCTTTCCTCAGGAAAGGGGTTCTGTTCCATCATGATTTGCCGGTTCCTCTTGGTTCCGGCTGGGGTTCCGGTGCTTGTCTCCCTTCTTCTCTCTTCTTTGGTTCCGGTGCTTGTCTCCCTTCTTCTCCCTTCTTACTTTCTTTCCTCAGGCAAGGGGTTCTGTTCCATCATGATTTGCTGGTTCTTCCTTGTTCCGGCTGGGGTTCCAGTGCTTGTCTCCCTTCTTCTCTCTTCTTTGGCTCCGGTGCTTCT